TCCTCTTGTTGAATAATTTTATGCTATTCACTTTAAAATCCATCAAAATCATCCAATTTTATCAGTATTCGAAATTCTAGTGCTTTGGGAGATGTACTCAGCTCCGGAACTGTTCGATTATGTCAAAGTGTAAATTGTTGTAAGTGGTAGAGTCACTAAAAGGTGAAATTTTTTTAAATATTTGACAAGATTATAAAGTGGGTACTAAATTTCATTCATCATTCTTGTTGTACATTTTTAGTTGTTGGTTAAAAGACTAGGACAAAGAAAACATTATTATTCAAATCCCTGAGTGGTACAGTAAGTCATGACTTAAGATAACGTTCATACCAAGATAAAAATTGAATTAATTTTCCTTTGCATTTAAAAATAAAAACATCGCTAATGGCAGTATTGGTAAAAATAACAATAAAGATAGTAAATAATTCAAAAAGGCATATGAGAGCAGAAGTAAAAAATTGACTATGGCAATGATGTTAATGATATCTAATACGTTCCACATAGTAAAAATTATATAATGAAATTGTAACATATTTAGATCTGATGATACAGGCACTGAAATATTTCTTCAACTACCACAAAAAAGTTTTCTGATAGCAATTAAAAAGTTCCAGACTCCTTTAATCATTTGTGTGGGTGTATATTTAATTATGTACAGACAACCTTGAATAATAAGAGCATATTATATTGATGTAGAATGAAAATGTTATCGAGAAAAAATCATGAGGCAGCTTTGTGCCAATAAACTAGAAGTAATTTTTTGTTGTTATTTTAGTTAATACAAGTGAGTAAAGTGAAACGCTTTTTGAGTTAAACAGACAATACAATTATTTTAAGTAAAATCCCAAATATTTTTTACATCCCATGTAAATGTAAAGCTCTAAAAATCCTAAATGTAAATGTAAAGCTCTAAAAAAATATATTGTTGTCCAGATAACATTTAAACAGCATAATCGTGTCTTTTGCGTTTTGTTTTTAATACCACATACAATTTTTACAAGAATTAAAACCTTTGGTTACAAAAATTATCGATAGTAAACGCGTGGAAACTTCTTTCTTAGACTAAGGCAAAAATTCCTACTTCATTCGCAATACGTCAAAAATGTATGAATTGAAATGAAAGGTTTTTCAGCTACCCAAGTACTTAATTTTTTTTTCTCTGATTCAAAACTTTCAACAACTACAAAGGTACATGTAACATGGATATATGCGTATAACGCACATTTTATTCTGTATCTCGTGAACTTTTAGAAAAAATCTTACCACTCTGAACATACATACCAAAAGACGATCCAGATGATAGACATCAAAACGCTCTCTCAGGCTACAAAAAAAGGGCGGAGGATGAAATAAAAATACCCCTGTGCTCCTACCAGTGAGCCAGATATGGATTTACGTGGCTAACTTACAGTGGAAAGATTTTTATCCATGACCGTCCATTTCAATGCTGGGCCTAGATACACGAGCACACAACTGAGGTGCTCCTTAATGTGGCGTATATTTTCCCGAACCTCTTCTTTTGACTTCTTTTTCGAGCGTGAGGTGTACATGGGCACGAAGTTGGAAAGTGTTCCAGATGTAGAGATATCTCGCGAGGGCACAGCTACTGCCATTGAGATGTTCGCACGCCACACCATAGCTCTTGTGCATACGTACCATTGCGTGGCAATGGTATCTTCAGAAGAAAACTTGTCTTTTATACGCACACGCGCACTTATACGTGTCTGTCAGATTGATTCCGTGGAACCTTTTAAGTTTTCGAGGCTTGTGCTTCTCGCTTTGAAGGTAAAAGTTTCGGAGATACCTTCAATGTTTCGAAAACTTTCCGCAGTTAGGGATAAAAACTCGAGTTGCACGTGATGTACTTATGTCCATCAATCGATCAATCGAGACGTCCTACTCGCATACATTTATCGATTAAATGATAACTGTCTACTATAGATAGTTACGACGAAGTTTTTCGAAACCTTAAGCTTTATTTAACTCATTAGGGAGTAGGCGTTATCTTAAATACGTTCTAAGTCAAGTACAATTGGTAATTCATAAGAAAAAGGGTATGTTGTTTACTTTATTGAGAAATAACACTACCTTTCAGTTAACGAGATTAAGTGTTATCCTTTAATTCATTAGTAAAAAAGAAGATCGCCACAGTTGCTTAAAAGAAAAAACGTCCTTAAATCTTAAATTTCTAGCACAGTTCTGTTATCACGAGCAAAAGCATGGGATATACATAGAAAATTCGCCACAAATAAAACATAAAAAATAGCGCTATTTAAAATTTTTTCATAAAAAAATTTTACTTCAAACCCCCATCGTCAACTTATTGAGACATAAGCACTATCTTTCATTGGTTGGAAACAATTTACGTCTCAAATGATTTATTGTTTCAAATCACTTAAAAAAAAAAGTAATGGTATAAATTTTACTGTCTTAGTCAGAGTGAAGTTTTCACTTGCTTCGCAACGACAATGTAGTATGACATACCAAGTCATTAGAATTGTGCTGTAATCGGATCAAAAAAGGAAGTTTGTTAGGCAAAGCCAGCTTACTGTCTTATCTCCTGGTGGCCTCTTGGTACTCTGTGTTACCCATACGTACCTTGTATCAAACTCATTACCAAAGTCCTAAAGAAAATAAAGGCGGGCAAAGGCCAAACGATGTAAGACAGGGCAAGGAAGAAAGTCCTTCTAACAATGGCATGGTAATTGATTCTCTCACCGGCGATTACGAGTTACGAGTTCCTTAGCGAGTGGCTCTCACCTTTCAAGCTTGAAAGTCGACAGCTTTCATCTCCCTCTGGAGCTCTACTTCTCTTCGGTCTCTCTACTGGCCAAGTAGCGATGAAAGATTATTCACTTCAAGGGGATGTCAAGCTTCCTGAGTGACTTATTCATCTCGGATGCTTACTTAAGAAGGGAGAATGTCCAGCAAAAAGAATTCGAGGTCACACGAAAGCTAGCTTGGAGGAGAAAATTTTACGAAGAGGGAAAACTACCTTATCCATTGACACATTTTGCTCGGAGCTTTTGGTGAGCTTTATGTACACATGAATAATTTTTTGGGAAGCTGCTTGCGTTAGCTTGTCAATTTTTTTAAAGAGGTATTTCCTTAGAGTCTTTTTATTGATTTTCTAATCAGTGTCTAGTTAATAGATGATAAGAACGTCTTGTGTTTTGGTTTTTTTTTGTTTTACAAACTGAAATTTACAGTACTATTTCTCTACGCACTGCAATCGCTTTTGTGATGACTTTTTGACTGATAAACGTTGTATTCGTCATTTAATTAATAATATGATAAGTACCTCTAATTCTCCTTTAAACGCATACTACAAAAAATACTTTAAAAGTTGTACATTATGAATAAAGTGTTGTCTCAATTGTATCAGCAAACAATGATTACCTTCCCCGTTTCTTTTTTTCTTTTATTCCGTTTCCCACTGTTATTATTTCCTCTCTGAGCGTCAAAATTTTTTTATTCTCTTCCGTTCCATGCTCGTTCTCTCCTTTAAAAGTGGTGCTCACCTGGAATTCCCTACTATTTTTCACATCCCTCTTTATTTTTCTTTCTCTCTCTCTCTCTCTTTGTACACATCTCCGACTTTTTTATTCAATTTCTAGATAACCAGTGTCACTAAAACTTTCAACGCCTTCTCTCATTCTTTTTCAAAGTTGCTACGGTTCGGGGACATCCATGGGTATTATGTGGAGAGTCCGGACAAAACTTTGCTAAAAGCAGAAAAAAAACACGGCTTGTCACTTCCGCAGGCTAAATATTCTTCACAAGCTTGCTTGGCCCTGTCTAAGAGATAGCTGCGAACTTGAGTGTTATTATTGTGTCTTTTTTTTTCGTTCCGGCATGCTATAGCTGGGTTTGTTTTACTGTTGCGGCTGTTATTCTTGGTTCGCACTTTCCTGTTTCAAAGTGGAATTGGATGTTTTTTTACGAGTTTGAATTTTTCACGAGCATTGGTGTTTTTCGTACTTGACATCCAATTCTAGGTACATATTTTTTTATTGTGTGGGTTCTAAATGTTAATAAAAAAATAAGAATATTAAGATCAAAGGGTCATAAATGTGTACAACTATTTTCTTAAAGCTACGTATAGTATGTAGGAACCAAACCCAAAAAAATAGAAACAATTGTAACAGTATCGTGTATGTGAAAGAATTCTTTTTCTATAAATCTATAAAATCAGTCTCTATTTCAAGATATGAAACTATCTAATAATACGGACAGATAATGCTAATATGAACTCAATACATTTGTGAGTTTTTTTTTGAATCTCAATAAAAAAGCTAAAAAAACTTAGTCTCCATTTTAATTATGATAATTTTCAAACATTCATTTGTATGGTATCTTAGTTGCATGACAGGTATTTACGAAATTGTAATGAAATTGTAATGTAAATTTTATGCTGTATAATAACACAGCAGAGCTACAGGTTTATGGCCAAAAAATTAACAGCTTAAACGCAAGATATTGCGAGCGTTTGAGCTTAACCTTAGATCTGAAGCCTTCAGAGATCAAGGAGTTCATGTAGTGGTTGACTCTCTGTAAATATGCTCTTCTGTCAACAAACGCACACATTACCTCTTTCTGAGCTTCATGGTGAATTACTTAAGGCATATGCTTCTCAAAGCCAATGTAGAATCTTGGCTTCAGTTATGTTATCAGCAGTGCTCTGGGCTCATGTCTACACAATAACATGACAACTTGAATGCTCTGGACTACATTTTTTTTTACCGTGAGTTGAGTATTTGAAAAAAAAAATTTTTCCAGTTGAATTTTGAATTGTATTAGCAAATAGACCACCGAGAATAGTAGTCAGCCTATTATTGTTTTGTTTGAGTGATAGTTCAAAGCTCTAACGATACTCTGAAAACTTTTAACAGTTAATATAAAATAGTTAAAAAATAAATAAATTATAATTTAAAAATCAGAGTACTTATGACAACTATTCTATACACCTCGTCACTAATACCAATTTTTTGTATTTACAGACTAGCGGAGAACAAGCAACACCAAGCATCATCCGTCGGTAAATATTTAAAGTACCTAAACTATGATTTATTTATAATTCATACTATACTTTGTTTCAAAAGAGTACCACTAATTTTACTATATGACCAAACATCTTGAAACAATGTATTAAGATCTTTTGAAACGTTGTTACTGGTGTGTAATATAGATTACAAATTGGCCAGTTAAATGCCAAATTAGAATTTGGTAAAAGCAAACGATATTAGGTTAAGAATCAGAAAAGCCAATGTTCTCACTCACTAGACGTTTGAATTGATCAGAAAAGTTTCCAATTCTAACTGATTGTAATTATCGGAGCATCAAAAATCAGTGCATGTGGAAGCTCATCAACACTTTTTTGGACTGCCTGTGCATTCCCCTTCACTTCACTCCTTCGTAACAGAATCAATACAAGAGTTTCCAGCCTTCCCAATGGCAGCCAGTCAAATTAACGTGGTAGCTCCATCACGAGTGAAATTTTTTATGATACTAGCTGTGAGATTGTGTGAAAACTTAGAGCCGTAACTAAACGGCCAACACACCTTGACGCACTGAAAGCTGCATCTTCCCTCGGATTTACCCCTGACGTTCTCTCTAGGCAGTCTGTTTGCGAAAGTATCGCTTGCCCAGAGGGAGAGAAGTTTACCAGTGGCCATGCTATAACGCGTGGGAATTACTTGCACTTGGGTGACGTAGCGCACTGATGTGCTGTTTGCCGAGAACTCGACGAATACTAATGGCATGAAGAGCTTGCTTTGGGGTTAGTAGATAATAGACTATCTTCCTGTTAGGGCCCCTTTACTTACGTTTGATGTTTTTCATACGCTTGAAAATTTATAAAGAATGATACTTCTAGATTTAGTACTTGAATGTCAAGTTATCTTTATGTATTTTTCAAATACTAAATAGTTTTTTATTGAACTCACAGTAATGTTTACGCATAGAAACAGTTTATAATTCAATGTTAAGTTGATCTTTAGATGTGGTACTATAATTAAAGTAGTCCTGAAATCGAATCGATAGATTTTCATTGGTTGATATAACCTAGGGTGTTAATCATATGTGCTCTTTTTGAACTATTACTCGTAAACACATGCCACTTGTCAAGTGAGAAAGTTAAATAAGTAAGCATGGATCATGACTACATGCTCTCCTTGATGTATTTCTCTGTGTACGGGACAGGCAAGTTTTATAACTTGAAATGTTTTCAGTTAATAGTTTAAGGTAGTTATGCGTCTGACTCCTGGTTCAAATATGCTACCATCATACACAATGCTGTTAAAGGTACTGAAACTTTGTGAAAATTTATTTGTACATTGTTTTTAAATCAAATTAAAGTACTCATCTAAGACTTTGGATTACAAAATTCCGTAAAAAAAATTATGATGAATGATTCATTAAATTCTTGTCCAATTTCAAAATATCTGCAGTCAATATCCTTAACGTAGGCAATGAAAATATTTGTCTACATTGTCGTCAATATCTTTTGATGGCTTTTGATTTGCGACTGTAAAAGCTGTTCTACTCTAGTTATTCTAATTCATTTCTGTCATGGAACATATTTTGTTTTTCGACAAAAATATGCGAATAAACTTTGAGAAAATGACCTCCAGCTGTGGTTTATACAATCCTGTGCTTTGAACTCCGAAGTTTTTGATTTTTTAAGAATTGTCTTAGTAACGATTACACTATCGTTTTGAAATATTCATTGTCAAAGAAATCTTTTATTATGACTTTTATTAGTTGAGTTAACGAAGCCTTAGTAATTATGAATCAAATAAATATTGAAAGTTACTAAGAAAATTTTTTAAGAAAAAGTTACTAAAGAAAATATCTACTTCTTACAAGATAGCAGCTCTAGCTTTACGCCTTTTTATCTGGTGACCACATGAAAATTCCTTCGGAGTACTGCATAAAAATACTCAATGCTGTGCAACTCTTTGACATGTAAAATTCCTAAAAGGTTCATCAAGAGACATCAAGCTATATGTACACCATGGGTAGAAGCAAAGATTGCTCAGATCTGGATCGTTCTTTACTTAACCACCCATGGTGTGTAAATAGATATTAATTGAGTAACGTTTGCCTTTGGTTTAATTAAGTTATTTTAATATTAGTCCTTGTGTTTAATAAATTTTTTCTATGATGTAGAAGAGTTGTGCCATCAGATAAACTAGATTAAGCTTAAGGCTATATAGCCTTCTTTACAACTTTTAAGATAAGCCAGTATACCATGTGAAATCTTTTGTATTCCATTTCAGTCCGTTCTGTTTCCTGACTTTTAAGAGATTTCTAAACATATATAAATACATATGTTCACACACATGAACACCAAAAGTTGACTATGGGTTTGTATTGATCTAATATAATTTCCTAGTATTATGAAAGAGTACTAGTGTCAAGTAAGATTTGACTATTTCAGACTCTATCTATTACCATAAAACCAGTATATCATTCTTTATCTACCTGTCGATATACTTGTTATTACTAATATGTCATTGCAGATATCAAAGTTAAAGACTAAATCAAATAAAACTGTATTAAATTATTTCTTTGTCAATAACTAAATACGATAAAACTCATTTAAACTATACTGTACATGCTTTTGAGTGTCATTCTTTAGATCTTCTTTTTTCTTGAGTCTCAGAAAAAACAATTATTTCGTATTTTTTTTATTTCCATTATGACCTTTATCATCCTACGACGCTTTAATACTTTCCTAGTCCACTACCTTTAATCCCCAGTCCCTCGTTTTCTCCATGTTACTCTCATTCTGTCTATTGTTCTATCACTTTACTTCTCGGGTTCACTTTTGCAACCGACATGAAAGTTTGTTCCATAGAACTCTACCGTACTACTGCTGCCGTTGCAATCGATTAAAGCTCTGAAATTAGAATTTCTGAGCAGTACACCAGATTTTTGCGCCATCTTTCTCATTCTTCTTCTCTTTCCATTATAATTTCTCTTATTTTACCCATTACTTTTAAACTCAACGTGTTTTTAATTCTCTTTGAGTGATTTGAATTTGTAATTTTTTAATATCTATTGTTAAATTATAATGTACGAAACATATTTTCCAACATCTTATTTCACATTGTTCATTTTGTTTGAGTTTTCTGCTGCTAAATCTCTCATTCCACGTACCATCACAGTATTCTCAGTTGCGATTGCATCGTCTTAAAAATATCCTTAAGTCCAACGCACATTCGCAATTAGACTACATTAGATTAATTACGGATATGACCACTTGGTTCTTACGAGCTCTGAAACCAATGTATACTTACAGAGCGATGAGCTGTCTCTCGGCTAGCAGATACATGCAAGTGCTAAACAGAGGAAACGGGAGAGGAAAGTCTGCGAGGGACACTGATTACACTGTTGAAAGCTTGCAAATATACGATTGGAGACTACCACGACAAGAGAGCACTCCTTTCGGACGTCAAGTGATTGGAGGCCAGTAGAACTTTTATCTGCAACACGACGGTTAATAGTATTAAACGAACGAGTTGTAATACATGCGGATTCGTCTGTTGGGCTCCTTCGGTATTCCTTTCACGCAGCCCTCGGGACCATGATCAAAGTCCTCTCTGGTACGACGATAATGCCGACAGCGAGCTTTGATGAAAGTTTCTCAATGGATCAGGTCATACAGGAGACCTGGCTTTTGGTTAACGTATAGGAAGCTATCTGGCCTCTCTTTGCTATGGTAATAGTGTACACGCAAGGTCTAGCTTTCGTATTTTTTTGTTAGCAGCTTATACTCTCCAAAAGGTTTATAGAACCGTCGAATCCTCAATGCTATACATTTTTCTCGAACATTTGATCGGAGTAATTAAATAATGAAGACTTTTCACCTAAATGTCTTCATCCCCAATTCATCTAATTATTGTATGCTGAGCATATTTAATAATGATTTTAACGAGGTCGCATTTGAAATACTCAAGTATTAGGCACATCTATCGTTTCTGCCTATCCTGTCTAGAGTTGACGACGGTATTCGTTGAGTATATTCGAAAAATCTTCAGCATCCATTTATATTAGATGTCTTCTAATTTGTTGAAGAAAGAGAAGATGGCTAAAAATAAGTTCAATGACAATTTCTAGAATAATTTCTCATATTTGTAAATTTGCTGCATCAAGTTAGTACTTCTGATTCGAACACTAATTAATTTTTAAGTGATTGAACCGAGCAATTAGAAAAAAAGTTATTAATTCGATCAAAAAAATAGCATGATCACTAGCGTTCAGTCTAAAATCAAAATCTAGGCAGAGAGCCACATTGTACTTTGCCTTTCTAACTAGTCCCGCTCGAATGGCCATGCTTTCCACTTTAGCATTGAATTTTCAAAAAAGACCAGACGATTGCTTTTCCTTGTCACTCCTCAGTGCTTTCCGTCTCTCTTCTCGTTCTCATCAAAGAGAAACCGAAAAAAAGCAAGCAAAAAAATGAGAAAATCTTACGCTTGAACGCACAGGTGCTGAAAAAGGAAGAACTGAACGAGGGAGCTAAAAAGGTAGGTGGAAAAAAGGGGTGTGTTAGCGCAATTTCACGTGCCAAGGCACGTCACTTGCCTTTTAAAAATATCCGTCACAGGAACGACGATATAATACATTATATGTGCCAGTCCAGGGACTACTACCTTTTTTACTCCTGTGCACCGTATGTGTAGTGCTCTTCCAATTTTCTTGAGGCTAGTGCTCATTCGCTTTGCATACGAGCGAGCTAAATTTGCTTCGTCGGGAAATCTTTCTTTTTCACCGAGTATGCGCCAAAAGCTTGCAGATGACTGAGGCATGGGATAGATTTAATGAAACGTGATAGGGTATAGTAAAAAAAAAATTAGAAAAGGAGAGCGGAAATAGTGGATGGACAGTGGATAAGAGCCGGGATTGGCAGTGCGGCAGCTGATCACATTTGTAAATGGAATTTTCGTCACAGAAATCCTTAAATCCCTTCTCTCTATAGTGGATATTCTCTGGCAGGTCAGGACGAGGTAAAATCCTTGATTGGATGTACGT